GAAAACAAGGATTTCAGCTTTTGTTATTATGGATAAATGATCAAACAATAGAATTAGATGAATGCATGTACTTATATACAAATGCCATTTCATTAGATTTATTTTTATATGATCAAATGAAGAATATAGGCGAAGAATCGTGTAACTCAAAGGACAATGTATGAGAAAAAGTCATATTCCTATTGCTCTAGGACAAAATTAATACGAGGTAAATATGAAGTTCGAGATATATTTAGGACAAATATTTTTGTTGATGTAATATCAATCCATTTTTACCAGGTGATCATCGGGGTCCTTTATTTCCAAATCCACATTCATCGACATTTAATGATGCGATAAATTTAATTCAAGTAAATGTAGGTAATCTAGTTAGATTAGCTCATGTTGCAGCTGGACCAATACCACCATCAAAGAATTATGAATTTCTGCAATAGAAAGTATTGAACCTGATAATGGGATTGCTATAGGAATGGAATTGATGCGGCATTAGCTGCTGCAAAGTTTCATTTTGAATTAATAAAGAAACAATATCTTGTAAAAATTTTTCCTCAATGTGCTAAATGTCTTGGATTATTACCCGAAAATCAAGGTGAAATTAATAAGCTTTGCTTTTTTACTTTTATTATTTTTTTTTTATTTTTTCAGCTTTACTAATTTTTTTATATATTTAAATTAAAAGAAGATGGTTTCAAAAATGTCCACCAGCAATTCTTAGAGCTTTAATTACATTCTTTATTCATCATTGTCTGATATTCATAGAATGTCCGACAATATTTCTTCATATCCTTCACCATCTACACCTATATTAAAATCTATAATATTAGGTCCCGAGAATCGGGAATTTGCACATGAAATTGTGAGACAATCTTTGATGTTAGCCCTCTTTATAAAGATATTAGAGGTGCTGTTCATATAGTGGGTGTTTGGATTCTAAGTGTGGTTAGTTTATTTTATTGCGATTTGAGTCAAAATATTCCCAGCCTTCCTTTTTGTTTATCAAACATTTTTTAATCTACAGGAAGAAGAAAGGCCAGCGTACTTACGTAAGTCCCTTCAAAATCTACCCTCACCAATTAGTCAAAATGATGCATCAACAACACCAGCTTCAACACCATTATCAGCTTCATCATTTACAAGTTCATATTCAGATGCAAATGTATATCTTAGAAGGTATATCGAATTATTAAATTTGGTATTTGAGGATCATTCGTTCTTAACGATGCACTAATACTAGTCGGTAACAATTGTACGACATATAAAAATTTACCTTTTTCGGAGTCCTGTGTAGATCTTTGCCAGATTCATCGAAAAGCAATTAAAACAATTTTGACGATTTTGTTACAGAAATATAAGTTATCGTTTCAAATTTTTTTTTTTTGTATTGCAAAAAAAATTACTTTTTTATATTTTAAACATTTCAAAAATTATATTTTTAATAAAATTTTCATTAAACAAATTCTTTACTTATTTATTAATGATTATGGTAGTTAAAGTATTGGATGATTATTATTTAGCCATAACAGCAATATTAACAATTGGATATCAACTAATTTTTTTTACTATCGCTTATACACAAAATATGCTAACATATATTTTTATTATTATTAAAGTGACTGATTTTGGAGGAAATTTTCATTTAATTTCTGAGTTTATATTTCCAAGTTAACGATTTCTTCATTCTTTCAATAGGTGGCAGTAATGTTGCTTTATTGGGGATATTAACATTGGTTCTTGGTCAGGTAAATGTAACGATCAATCTAACCTTACCTATCTCAATTCCCTTTATCAATAATGTTTTCTTGATATTATACAGACATGGTATGTTCGACAAATAATCGCGACGACATTCGCGGTTTTGTGGGGTGCAAGATTAGGATGTAAGCAAGATAATTTACTGTAATTTACACATTCGTCATTTTAACTCCTTTCATTCTTCACTTTTCTTTTTTAGTATTTTGTTTATATCGAATGTTAAAATCAGGAAAGGATTCAAGATTTGAAAGTATTAGATCTAAATTTGCATCATTGCTGTTCTTCTTTGTGTTACAAATGATATGGGTTTGGATAATTAGTTTACCTTTCATATTTTTAAATTCTCCAAGAATAAGTAATGATGA